AGTCCTTAGTGAGGTGCTTCTACTAAGCCTCCTTCTGGGTCAGATCCAATTTGAACTGAGATGTTTTGCCAACTCTTTCTCATGGTGGCTGCTTAGCTCCAACAACTGCTTCCTGTTGGGGCCCTAAGGAGCCTGGGTGGGGAGGCGAGGAGTGGATGGGATGGGAGGGGTGAATAGAGGCTGGTGAGGTGCCGCTCAACGTGAGTAACATCAACTTGGCCATGCCCACCCAGTCACATGCCCACCTAGCCACTCCCACCTAGCTGGTCATTAGGCAGATGATATTAGTGGTCCGCGGGATTTAAAATTATGAATTTAGTGGTCCCTGAGGTCCGAAAGGTTGATGACCCTTCTGCTATTGGAATGACCAATTTCTCCAGTTGACATTCAGTTAGTAGCAAAAGCAATAAAAGAAGAACAGAGTTGGAAGGGACCTTGGACAGTGGTGGGATTCAGCCAGTTCGCACCTATTCGGGAGAACCGGTTGTTAACTATCTAAGCAGTTCATAGAACCGGTTGTTGGAAGAAATCTTATTTTGTTTTTTTCCACTTTACAGGGCTAATCCTGTAAGGAAGGCAGGAAAGAAACATTCTGGTGTTGTTTCTAGCCTAATCTTTATTGCTTCTCTGGTTAATCCTTATTACATTGTAACAGCTAAGGCGAAGCGCCCAGCAACGTGAGTTGGTCATGCCCATTGAGTTGGCCATGCCCACACAGTCACATGACCACCGAGCCATGCCTACCCAGCTGGTCATTAGGGCAGAGAACCGGTTGTTAAATTATTTGAATCCCACCACTGATCTTGGAGGTCTTCTAGTCCAACCCCCTGCTGAAGCTATACGATTTCAAACAAATGGTTGTCCAATTTCTTCTCACGGTGATGGAGCAGAAACATTTCTGAAGGAGGGGTCCTTGATACTCTCTAAGCCTGATTGTTTTCTTGAAGACCTTTCACTATCCAAACTAGGTAGCACTGATGATGTTACCTAGTTTGGTAATGAAATGTCTTCAAGAAAACAATCAAGCTCAGAGAACACCAAGGACCCCTCATTTTCAACCTTGAACTATAAATATTCCCCTTTATTGGAACTTCTGGAGCAGTGGTAGGTTCCTCCCGGTTCGGCCGAGCTGGTAGCGGTGACGATATGACGTCACCGAACCGGTTCTTCCCCCCCGCCCCCCACCCCCCCACATTATTCTTACCTTTTATTTGGTCCCACCCCCAATCTATTGCTGCCTCCTGAGTCCCAGCTGATGACTAGAGGGAAAAAAAACTGTTTAAACTCTTGCCGTGGGGCTTCAAAGGGCCGCCCTACAGCTGATCAGTGTTAAAAGCAAACAAATGAGTCGGGTCATAAGTGTGAGGACTGGTCGTAAGTGCGAGGACCTTCCAAAAATGCCACGCCCACCTAGTCACATGACCTCCAAGCCACACCCACAAAATAAGCCATGCCCACAGAACCGGTAGTAAAAAAATTTAGAACCCACCCCTGTTCTGAAGGTCTGAAACCAGGCCTTTAGTAAAGTCTTCTTCTACCCCTCTTCTCCTTCTGCTTACCAATTTCCCCACCATTTTACCTCTCTTTTTCAGTTAAAAACCACATTTGTCCTCCCCTGGGAAAAGTTTAGTCAGAGTGTCGTGTCTTTCAATGATGAATTCTCTAACGAGGAAAATCTGGCCTCTCTTTAAAAGCAGGACTTACACGAGACAATGACATCTCAGCCAGCTTTTTTGGGGCGGGGGGGCAGGGGGGGCGGGGGAGATGATCATTATGGACACAACTAGAGATGATGATTTGCTGGAATCTGCTTTTTCTTCAGATCCAAAAGAGTGGAAGCGACTGAGTGAAAAATATACGGAGCAGCTGAATTTATTTATTATTTATTTATTTATTGGTTCGATTTATATGCCACCCTTCTCCGGAGACTCAGGGCGGCTTACAATGCGTTAAGCAATAACCTTCATACTTTTGTATATACCTGCTTAGTAGGGCTTTCACCTCCCCCCCCCCCAAGCGGTGTTCTTTATTATACAAAGTCAGCTTATTGCCCCCACAATCTGGGTCCTCATTTTACCTACCTTGGTAGGATGGAAGCAGGGGTGGGTTCTAAATTTTTTTACTACCGGTTCTGTGGGCGTGGCTTATTTTGTGGGTGTGTCTTGGAGGTCATGTGACTAGGTGGGCGTGGCTAGCTGGTCAGAGTCATTTCTGGAAGGTCCTCACACTTACGACCAGTCCTCGCACTTACGACCCAACTCATTTGTTTGCTTTTAACACTGATCAGCTGTAGGACGGCCCTTTGAAGCCCTGCCGCAAGAGTTTAAACAGTTTTTTTCCCCTCTAGTCATCAGCTGGGACTCAGGAGGCAGCAATAGATTGGGGGTGGGACCAAATAAAAGGTAAGAATAACGTGGGTGGGTGGGTGGGAGGGCAGGGGGGGGGAAACCGGTTCGGTGACGTCATATCGTCACCGCTACCGTCTCGGCCGAACTGGACCGAACCGGGAGGAACCCACCACTGGATGGAAGGCTGAGTCAACCTTGAGCTGGTGAGATTTGAATTCGCAGTAATTGCAGGCAGCTGACAGCTAAGTGTTTCTTAACAGCACTTTAGTCCGCTGCACCACCAAAGCTCTTAATTTAGGAACTGACAGCATTAGAATTTTGCCAGGAGAGGAATTAGGCATTGTTTGGGTGGGTGTGGGGGGGAGAGAGATACTCTGCTCTGCAGAGTTATACTTGCCCTTTGACCCCTTCTTTGTTGTTTGCAACTGAGATTCTTCTCCAGCGTCTCATGAATCTCCCTTGTGAAACCAGATCCTTTTAGCAGGACCCTAAGATGGACTCTTGATTTCCTCTTCTTGACTACCTCTTTGATTCAGCCTTCAGCCAGCAAATTAAGAAAATCAGGCTGCAAACAAATGACTGTTTTAGCTGTAAGAGGCTACTCATCAGAGATTTTCTAGTCCACTTCCCACAGCTTTTTCCCTACATTAGATCAGCTATGCCAATTACTTAAGAGTGATTTATAGTAATTACAGCAGCAAAGAAGGATGCAAGAGGAGGTTGCAGTGTCTTCTCATTGCTCTCATTAATACTCCTTTGCTTAAAAGAAACCTAACAGGGTAAAACAGGGTTTCTGTTAGGACATGAGTCTTGGCAAATGCCTAAAAGGGCAACTGCTATTTTTAATCTTATCAATATTTATATTTATTTTCATTGGTTGCCCACAAACTTGATTCCAACGTTCCTAGCCACTGGCGCATGATTTTAAAGTAGCAATCTACCAGAAACTTTTTAGTAAAAAGTTTGATATAAATACAATACGTGCGTATGTGTGTATATAAAATTGCATCCATCATGACTGATATGTTGTTCCCTTGGACAAGTCTTCTTCCAAAGAGAAGGAGAAGCTAATTTTGAAGAGCAGGAAAGTGCCTTGAGGTCTTGACCAAATAAATTTCCTCTATCTCAATTTTCAATCTTGGGATCAAATTTTGAAGCAAAGCCCCCATGATCTAAGTAACATGCCAGTCAGCAGAGAGATGGAGAAATGGGTCTATATTTGTTTATTTATCATATTATCATATATATATTTATCTATTTATATTTATATTACATTTATATATTATCATATTGCAAGAACTGGGTATGTTTAGTTTAATGAAGAGAAGGTCTAGGGGAGACATGATAGCAGTGTTCCAATATCTCAGGGGCTGCCACAAAGAAGAGGGAGTCAAGCTATTCTCCAAAGCACCTGAGGGCAGAACAAGAAGCAATTGGGTGGAAACTAATCAAGGAGAGAAGCAACTTAGAACGAAGGAGAAATTTCCTGAGGGTTAGAACAATTAATCAATGGAATGACTTGCCTGCAGAAGTTGTGAATGCTCCAACACTGGAAGTTTTTAAGAAGATGTTGGATAACCATTTGTCTGAAATGGTGTAGGGTTTCCTGCCTAAACAGGGGGTTGGACTAGAAGACCTCCAAGGTCCCTTCCAACTTTGTTATTCTATGATTCAATGATTCTATATTTATACAGCTGCTGTGACAAAGATACAAGAGTTTCAGCTTTAACAGGACAATAAGGCCAATTTTTACCATGCCCTGATGACGGTCCTAATCTCAGATGAAGGAGGACAAAATGAAGTGAAAAACACATGGCCAATACAACTCATCATATTTACAGGTAGTCCTTGACTTACGACAGCAATTGAGCCCGCAATTTCCATGGTTAAGCAAGGCAGTTGTTCAGTGCGTTTGCTCCATTTTACAACCCTTTTGCCATAGTTGTTAAACAAAACATTGCAATCATTAAGTGAATAATGCAGTCAATAAGCGAATCTGGCTTCCTCCATTGATTTTGCCATCTGGGAAGATTGTGCAAATGGTGAACTCACGACCCTGAGAGATTGCAATGTCATAAATTACATGCCAGTAGCCAAGCGCCTGAATTTTGATCACGCGACTATTGGGATATAAGTTGCAAGTGTGAAAACCGGCCATAAGTCAATTTTTTCAGTGCTGTTTTAACTCCGATTGGTCCACTAGTGGGTTTCACTTACCTTCGCTACTGGTTTGGAACTGTGAGCGCGTGTGTGCGGGTGGTGGTTCTGCGCACGCACAGAACCTTCTACACATGCACAGAGAGTCCATGATGACGTCCGAGTGGGTGGGTGGAGCCTCCCGCCACCACCGCTAACGGTTTGCCAAAACCGGGATGAACCAGTAGAAACCCACCAATTAATTAATTAATTAGCAATTTTATGATGTTTGTGTGTCTATATTTTTCTTGACTGTATACCGCCTTGAGTCCTACGGGAGAAAGGCGGTATAGAAATATAATAAATAAATAAATAAATAAATAAATAAATAAACCCACCACTGGATTGGTCCCTAAACGGACGGTTGTAAATTGAAAACTACCTGCACTCCAATTTCTTTTCTTTTCTTTTTCTTCCATTCCATTCTATTCTTTTGTGAATAGAAATAAGCGTTACCTTTTATTTCTCCAAAGTTCCCTGATCCCATGGCAAGGAGCTTGTCTTTCCAATCTTTTGATAGTAGTTTTTCAATACTGGGGGTTTCTGAATGAAGAGAAAGAGAGAGAAAAAGAGAATCAACCTGGCTGATAGCACAATAGAACTCATTAAAAGTCTATCCGCTAAAAATAAGTGCGATCCCATCACGGACCCCAGTTCATAATGACTTCATCAACATACTGATAAGAGGGGAAAGCATGGTTTAAAAAAAGAAAAGAAAAAAAGAATGCGTTTTGTCACCTGCTGTTTCAAAATCATTAGCTTTTCCTCTCTCTGAACAAAGCTGTTTCCCTATGACAATGGGCACACAGAAACCTGGCATGTATTGTTTTTCAATTTAGAGAACAAGTTTCTGCTCATAATGGATGCTTGTCAATTTCAGGGTGTTAGCCTGCAGTCAAAAAAATATAATTATGTTGATAAAATGCACAGGGCGGGGGACGGGGGGGAGGAGGAGGAGAGGGGAAAAAAAAAAAAAAACAAGGCAAAGAATTAGCGACTAAATCTGCTACATGTAATTATATCCCTCGGTGTGTTTACAATTACATCCACTTTACAATGTGTTTAAACATAGTGTGGTGGTAAGCATGCTGTGGCAAGATTTCCTCCCCCCCCCTTCTCCTCAAGCCCCTCTCCCTTGTAACACACTCACCGCAAACAAATAATAAGTGTAGCAGTTGTAACAATAATCCAAAAAGAGCTCGGAATAGTAAACGCAGGCTGTGCGGTGCTCTGAATTGTATTTGGAAAGGGCGTTTCAGAATGCGTGAAGATGAAAATTGTGGCCCTGCTTGCAACTCTAAAGCTGTTCCCAGGTTCTATTCCCAGGCAAAGCTAGGAAAAGGCCTAGGGAGATGCGGATGAGGAGCCAAACTCTGCCTTTTGCGTCCAGGGGATATTTAGGAATATGTTACAGCTGCTTTAAAGAGTTGCAGACAAGAGGCCAAGTCCTGCTAAACGAAGACCATCTAGAATCATAGATTCACTGGGCTAGAAAGGGCCTCAGAGATCTTCTAATCCAGGGGTCCCCAACAGGGATGGGCTTCAAAAATTTTAGCAAATTTTAGCCTGGTTGCTGGGTGGGCGTGGCCATGGTGGGTGAGGCCTCGTCGGCCTCCTGCACCATGCATGGCAGGGGGGCGTTTTTGCCCTCCCCGGGCTCCAGAGGCTTTCCTCGAGCCACTGGGAGGCAAAAATGGCCTCCCCAGGCTCCAGAGGCCCTCCCTTTCCGATCTTCTGGTAGGCCTGTTTTTCACCCTCCCCGAGCCTCCATACGCGCCCTACACTTACCGTGTTTCCCCAAAAATAAGATCTTGTCTTATATTTTTTTGAACCCTGAAATAAGCACTTGGTCTTATTGCCATGCGCTGGCTTGAGTTAAATTTTAAATTGATTTTAAATTGGGTTGTTTTAATTTATGGCCAAAATATTTAATCATTTTAAACTGTTTTTTAAATTTTGTATGTTCTGTTTTTTACTTTGGCTGTTCACCGCCCTGAGTCCTATTTGGAGAAGGGCGGTATAGAAATGGAAACAAATAAATAAATAAATAAAAGCCCAATTAGGCTTATTATCAGGGGAGGTCTTATTTTGGGGAAAACAGGGTCTCCAGAACCTGTCAGAACCTGCTGAATAGCACCCTGGTTTTATCCAGGGTGCTGTTTCATCATTGATAATTCTTTGACTCTGTCCTTGCTTCTCCCACGAAACTTTTTTTAAAAAAAATATATTTTCCTTGCCCTTATAAAGTGCAAAACCTACAGGACATTCAACTTGCTTCCAAACAATGTGATTGTCTATTCTAGTCAGCAGTTAGAAAGGTTCACAACGTAATAGCTTTCAATCCTGCGATTAGTACTGCATTCAGATAGAAAGTGGAATGCAGCAAAATATAAGTGCTCCAGTATGTTCCATCTAAATAACAACGGCCACAGTGACTATCTTTATCTTATAACATTAATCGCTATCCCCCACTTCTGCGCTCAGGTCTAATTTGACCCAGTGTTTGTCTAAACCCCTACTTGGGAACTGAAAGGGAGTTATATGTTAACTTTTCAAAGGAACTGTCTGGCTTAGAGACTGCACATTATTAGCAGCTGGTAAATTTCCTCTCCAGATAACAAATTGTTGATTAAACTGTCTAATTTTGTTTTCCTTGCTTTGTTTTTCAAAACTGACATCTCCATACTAAATGACAGTCAAAAGCCAGGCACAAACTGCTAAACAATCCTAGGGTTATTTTGGTTTAGCCTGCTGCATGAACCTTGCATTTTCCTCCAACGTGGCTTATTATCCAAAGTGAAATGTATGCAGCTGATTGATGAATAAGCTTAGGAAATATTTCCATATCTAATTCTCCCAAGGCTCTGATCACAGTAGCATCCTCAGCCTAGATATATTGATCGTGTTACAAGAAATTGGAGTAACTGTATTTTGGGAAGAGCTTTGGACCTGTAAATAAATTGAGCTAAGCAGTCAAGCTCCAAGTTTAATGTAAAATGTGTCATATTTTGAACTTGAAAATTATGACACCATGGATTAAGAATAACACATGTTATCCTAGTGCATTTGATTCCCCTCCGCCCTGCTCCTTCCAAATTTAAAAATTGCAATCTGTTGACTCCCAACTTGGAAAATGCAAAGCCTCTGCATTGTTCATGATGGAGAGGGTGTGCGTAAGATTATTGCTCTACATTAGAATTGTACGTTGCACATTCTTAGTATCCATGACCAGTCCAAATCCTGTCAAAACTATGTTTTGAAGGCAATAGAAAAATAAGCAACTTTCTCCAAATCTTAAAGTGCTAATAAGGTTCCACACTGTGGTAAGAAGATTTCAACGAAGTGTTTCAGGAAAACACGATGTTGGAACTGATGAGACCTCCTTCTTCAAGAGCACAGTTGCCAGATGTTAGCCAGATGCGGAATGTTCCATCCAGTCTACCTGGATGCAGAACAAGTAAATGTGGGCACTTCTACTGAAAGTGGCATTGAGAATTAAAGAAAACCTTTTAGCAACTTTGAATAAATAATATAAACATTGCTATTTTCTTTTTGTCTTTCTGATGTTGCTTCAAAAAAAAAAAGAAAGAAAGAAATCCTTGAGCGGTAAGTAAACAGGCCAAGCGTACCACAGTATTTGCCGTGGAAGACTGTCAGTCATTAAAAGCTAACAAACCTTCACGAAGCAGGAATGCGGTAAAAGAAATCTATTCTGGATTAACAATAAGCTACGGATCCCACTGGCACCATTTTGCTTCTAAGCCTATTGTAAGCAAGGCCCAGGACAAAGCCTTCCTCCTACAGCTAGACAAAATATTCACCTTTGAGCACAGATAAAGAAACAGCAGACTTTGAGACTTGTGGTTAAAGCAACAGAAACCTGATTTATGATGTCAAAAGACCCCAGTCGGTTGCCACGAACCATAGCTCAACAGCATTGGAGATGCGCTTGAAACAAATGTAACCTCTGAATAGACAAGCACATTCATTGATGGGCAAAACTACATGGGGCCATTTTCAAAATGGCGCCAAAGCATTGATGTACTAGTTCACAGGACTCCCAGTGATTATTATCCATTATGAGCCACGGTGGCGCAGTGGTTAGAGTGCAGTACTGCAGGCTACTTCTGCTGACTGACTGCAATTTGGCACTTCGAATCTCACCAGGCTCAAGGTTGACTCAGCCTTCCATCCTTCCGAGGTGGGTAAAATGAAGATCCAAATTGTTGGGGGCAATATGCTGACTATGTAAACCGCTTAGAGTGGGCTGTAAAGCACTGTAAAGCCTTGGTAGTATAGTGGTCTAAAGCACCCTGTTATTAAGACCAGCTGCCTGCAATTACTGCAGGTTCGAATCTCGCCAGGCTCAAGGTTGACTCAGCCTTCCATCCTTTCTAAGGTAGGTAAATTGAGGACCCAGTTGTGGGGGCAATAAGCTGACTTTGTATAAATATACAAAAAGGATGAAGGCTATTGCTTAGCGCATTGTAAGCCGCCCTGAGTCTCCGGAGAAGGGCGGCATATAAATCAAATTTTTTAAAAAAAGCAGTATATAAGTCTAAGTGTTATTGCTATTGCTATTATAGGAATGCCACATTAACAACCTTGGGAATTCTTAAGGATCTCTGGTAAATAAGTAGGGATGGGAGAGAAATTTAGTTAGTTCACTTTTATTTATTATTCATTTACTAGATTTTTATCCTGCCTTTATTGGTAATTCGAGGTAGCAAACATGCATAGTGCTCCTTCTTTCTTCTATTTTCCTCACAACATAACCCTTGTCCAGAGTCACCTAGCCAGCTTGCGTGCCTAAGGCGGGACTAGAACTCACAGTCTCCTGGTTTCTAAGACAGCACCTTAATCACTACACCAAACTGACAGACAGCGCTGGCTCTTTGGCTTTGAAACAGAGATGAGCACCGCCCCCTAGAGTCGGGAACGACTAGCACATATGTGTGAGGGGAACCTTTATCTTTTTACCTTATAGTTGATCAAAAAAAATTTAAAAGAAATTCTAAAGTTCTCAGAAAACGATGTAGACAACTTTTGGAAAACAGTTAAATTTGGAGGTTAGTAGATAGCTGTCCCATGGAACAGGATTTGGACAGGATGACTTGGTATTAAGCAACCAATTATTTATTACATTTTGAATGGGGATAGGCTTGATTTAAGATTGCAGGAAGAAGGGGAACCCTAAACAATCAGACAACCAATAATTTTAAAGTAGTCAGTTACTAACTTTAGGAGATAGGAGGAAGAGCTGCAGTGATGACAGTGATCAGATAAAAAACATCTCAGCCCACGGAGGGAATGTGGATGGAGAAACGGATAAGTGCTTTCAGATTGACATGGTTCTGTTACTATAATCCAGGGCTCTCCAAATTTGGCAACTTTAAGAGTTGTGGATTTAAACTTCCAGGATTCCTCAGCCATCCCCTTAAAGTTGCCATGTTTGGAAATCCCTGCTATGATCTTACAATTACGGTACTGTTGGTACTCATGGTTTTGATCTCCTGACTGGGCTGCTTCAAAGGGCTGACAGC